TATGTAATGTAAGCAATTAAGTAAGTCAGTATGTATGTATGTATGTATGCATGTATGCATGTATGTACGTATGTATGTATGTATGTAATGTATGTATGCATGTATGTATGTATGTATGTATGTACGTATGTATGTATGTATGTATGTATGTATGTAATGTACGTATGTATGTATGTATGTATGTATGTATGTATGTATGTATGTATGTAGTGTGTATGTATGTATGTATGTATGCATGCATGCACGTATGTATGTATGTATGTATGTATGTATGTATGTATGTATGTATGTATGTATGTATATATGTATGTGATGTAATGTAATGTAATGTAATGTAATGTAATGTAATGTAATGTAATGCAATGGAATGCATGTATGTATGTAATGTAATGTAATGTAACGTAATGTAATGTAATGTAATGTAATGTAAAGTAATGTAATGCATGTATGTATGTATGTATGTATGTATGTATGTAATGTATGTATGTATGTATGTATGTACGTATGTAGGTATGTATGTAGTGCATGTATGTATGTATGCATGCATGTATGTATGTATGCATGTATTTATGTAATGTATGTATGAAATATATGTATGTATGCATGCATGCATGCATGCATGTAGGTATGTATGAATGTATGTTATGTATGTATGCATGTATGTAATGTATGTATGTATGTATGTATGTATGTATGTATGTATGTATGTATGTATGTATGTATGTATGTATGTATGTATGTATGTATGTATGTATGTATATGTATGTATGTATGTATGTATGTATGTGTATGTATGTATGTATGTATGTATGTATGTATGTATGTATGTATGTATGTATGTATGTATGTATGTATGTATGTATGTATGTATGTATGTATGTATGTATGTATGTATGTATGTATGTATGTATGTATGTATGTATGTATGTAATGTATGTATGTATGTATGTATGTATGTATGTATGTATGTATGTATGTATGTATGTATGTATGTATGTATGTATGTATGTATGTATGTATGTATGTATGTATGTATGTATGTATGTATGTATGTATGTATGTATGTATGTATGTATGTATGTATGTATGTAATGTATGCATGTATGTAATGCATCTGCGTATGTATGTATGTAATGTATGTGTGTATGTATGTCTGTAATGTATGTATGTATGTGTGCATGTATGTATGTAATGCATGTGTGTATGTATGAATGTAATGTATTTATGTATGTATGCATGCACGTATGTATGTATGTATGTATGTAAGCATGCATGTATGTATGCATGTATGCATGTATGTATGTATGCATGTATGCATGTATGTGAGTATGTAAGTAAGTAAGCAAGTAAGTAAATAATGTAATGCATGTAATGTATGTACGTATGTATGTATGTATGTATGTGTGCATGCATGCATGCATGCATGCATGCTTACATACATGTATGCATGTATGTACGTATGTATGTAATGTATGTATGTATGTAATGTCAGGTAATGTCATGTAATGTAATGTATTGTAATGTACTGTACTGTAATGTATGTATGTATGTATGTATGTATGTATGTATGTATCCTTGCACTTCCCCTTTGCTCCGGAGTATTTCCCGCAAAAAAACACGGTTTTTCCAGCGTTTTCGCAAAGAGGACGTCCAAAAACATTGAGTTTTTCCAGATTTTCGGCAAAAGGATGCAGGAAGTTGAAGCCAGCAAAGAAGCCGGCAGGGGGAATCGAGCCTGGGACCCCTGTTTTGCGACACCGGCTCCCCGAAGACTACGTTTAGTGGAACGTCATCAAATTGCCCGGTACGTGGGCCCCCCCCCCCCCAAAAAAAACCTACGTAATAGACGTCGGGCGGGGGGGGGTTAGGGGGGGTTATCCTCTATCCTCTAGTAAGTATCCGACACGCCGAGCAATGTCGGCGGATTTGGGCTCTTCGATGTTCCTCCAATTGGGCTCTTCGATGTTCCTCCAATTGGGCGCTTCGATGTTCCTCCAATTGGGCTCTTCGATGTTCCTCCAATTGGGCGCTTCGATGTTCCTCCAATTGGGCGCTTCGGTGTTTCTCCAATTGGGAGCTTCGGTGTTTCTCCAAAATTTGGGCTCTTCGACGTTCTTGGAACATTTGGGCTCTTCGATGTTCCTTTCAAATTTGGGCTCTTCGATGTTCCTCCAATTGGGCTCTTCGATGTTCCTCCAATTGGGCGCTTCGGTGTTTCTCCAATTGGGCGCTTCGGTGTTTTTCCAATTGGGCGCTTCGGTGTTTCTCCAATATTTGGGCTCTTCGATGTTCCTCCAATTGGGCTCTTCGATGTTCCTCCTCCAATTGGGCGCTTCGATGTTCCTCCAATTGGGCGCTTCGGTGCTCCTCCAATTGGGCTCTTCGATGTTCCTCCAATTGGGCTCTTCAAATCCTCCAATTGGGCGCTTCGATGTTCCTCCAATTGGGCGCTTCGATGTTCCTCTAATTGGGCTCTTCGATGTTCCTCCAATTGGGCGCTTGGATGTTCCTCTAATTGGGCGCTTCGGTGTTTTTCTAGTTGGGCGCTTCGGTGTTTCTCCAATTGGGCTCTTCGGTGTTTCTCCAATATTTGGGCTCTTCGATGTTCCTCCAATTGGGCTCTTCGATGTTTCTCCAATTGGGCTCTTCGATGTTCCTCCAATTGGGCGCTTCGATGTTCCTCCAATTGGGCTCTTCGATGTTCCTCCAATTGGGCTCTTCGATGTTCCTCCAATTGGGCGCTTCGATGTTCCTCCAATTGGGCGCTTCGGTTTTCCTCCAATTGGGCGCTTCGGTGTTCCTCCAATTGGGCTCTTCGATGTTCCTCGAATTGGGCGCTTCGATGTTCCTCCAATTGGGCGCTTCGGTGTTCCTCCAATTGGGCGCTTCGGTGTTCCTCCAATTGGGCTCTTCGATGTTCCTCCAATTGGGCGCTTCGGTGTTCCTCCAATTGGGCGCTTCGGTGTTCCTCCAATTGGGCTCTTCGATGTTCCTCCAACTCGGCGCTTCGGTGCTTCTCCAATTGGGCGCTTCGGTGTTTCTCCAATTGGGCGCTTCGGTGTTTCTCCAATATTTGGGCTCTTCGATGTTCCTTCAACATTTGGGCTCTGAGAATTTGGGCTCTTCGATGTACCTCCAGTTGGGCGCTTCGGTGTTCCTCCAATTGGGCGCGTCGGTGTTCCTCCAATTTGGCGCTTCGATGTTCCTTTAATTGGGCGCTTCGGTGTTTCTCCAATTGGGCGCTTCGGTGTTTCTCCAATTGGGCGCTTCGGTGTTCCTCCAATTGGGCTCTTCGATGTTCCTTCAACATTTGGGCTCTGAGAATTTGGGCTCTTTGATGTTCCTCCAATTGGGCTCTTCGGTGTTCCTGCAATTGGGCGCTTCGGTGTTCCTCCAATTGGGCTCTTCGACGTTCCTCCAATTGGGTGCTTCGGTGTTTCTTCAATTGGGCGCTTCGGTGTTTTTCCAATTGGGCGCTTCGGTGTTTCTCCAATATTTGGGCTCTTCGATGTTCCTTCAACATTTGGGCTCTGAGAATTTGGGCTCTTCGATGTTCCTCCATTTGGGCTCTTCGATGTTCCTCCAATTGGGCGCTTCGGTGTTCCTCCAATTGGGCGCTTCGGTGTTCCTCCAATTGGGCTCTTCGATGTTCCTCCAATTGGGCGCTTCGGTGTTTCTCCAATTGGGCGCTTCGGCGTTTCTCCAAGTGGGCGCAAGCTTCGGTGTTTCTCCAATATTTGGACTCTTCGATGTTCCTTCAACATTTGGGCTCTGGGAATTTGGGCTCTTCGATGTTCCTCCAATTGGGCGCTTCGGTGTTCCTCCAATTGGGCTCTTCGATGTTCCTCCAATTGGGCGCTTCGGTGTTCCTCCAATTGGGCGCTTCGGTGTTTCTCCTATATTTGGGCTCTTCGATGTTCCTTCCACATTTGGGGTCTGAGAATTTGGGCTCTTCGATGTTCCTCCAATTGGGCGCTTCGGTGTTCCTCCAATTGGGCGCTTCGGTGTTCCTCCAATTGGGCTCTTCGATGTTCCTCCAATTGGGCGCTTCGGTGTTTCTCCAATTGGGCGCTTCGGTGTTTCTCCAATTGGGCGCTTCGATGTTCCTCCAATTGGGCACTTCGGTGTTCCTCCAATCGGGCTCTTCGATGTTCCTCCAATTGGGCGCTTCGGTGTTCCTCCAATTGGGCGCTTCGATGTTCCTCCAATGGGGCGCATCGGTGTTTCGCAAATTGGGCGCTTCGGTGTTCCTCCAATTGGGCGCTTCGGTGTTCCTCCAATTGGGCGCTTCGATGTTCCTCCAATGGGGCGCATCGGTGTTTCGCAAATTGGGCGCTTCGGTGTTTCTCCAATTGGGCGCTTCGATGTTCCTCCAATTGGGCGCTTCGGTGTTCCTCCAATTGGGCTCTTCGATGTTCCTCCAATTGGGCGCTTCGGTGTTTCTCCAATTGGGCGCTTCGGTGTTTCTCCAATTGGGCGCTTCGATGTTCCTCCAATTGGGCGCTTCGGTGTTCCTCCAATTGGGCTCTTCGATGTTCCTCCAATTGGGCGCTTCGGTGTTTCTCCTATATTTGGGCTCTTCGACGTTCTTTGAACATTGGGGCTCTTCGATGTTCCTCCAAATTGGGCGCTTCGGTGTTTCTCCAATTGGGCGCTTCGATGTTCCTCCAATTGGGCGCTTCGGTGTTCCTCCAATTGGGCTCTTCGATGTTCCTCCAATTGGGCGCTTCGGTGTTTCTCCAATTGGGCGCTTCGGTGTTCCTCCAATTGGGCTCTTCGATGTTCCTCCAATTGGGCGCTTCGGTGTTTCTCCAATTGGGCGCTTCGGTGTTTCTCGAATATTTGGGCTCTTCGATGTTCCTTCAACATTTGGGCTCTGAAAATTTGTCTCTTTGATGTTCCTCCAATTGGGCTCTTCGATGTTCAATATTTGGGCTCTTCCCCCTTGAGCCTTGAGGACTTGGGTCGTTCTTCTTCTGCCAAACTGACCTGTGGCCGAGGCTTCCCCATGACGGGAATTGCATCGAGTGGTACCAGAAGCTGTGCGCGGAGCCGGTGAAGTGCGACAAGTTTCGGGAGCGGCTTGGCAGGAGGGCTGTGCAAAGAAGCATGAGGTGACGGTGGCGCGTCATTTTTTTGGGGTCCCCTCAAATGGCATTAACATTTCCTTTTGGTCTCCCTTAAAACACCAGACAAAAAGGGGGTACCACCAAAAAGAGTCACCCATTGTGGTCTTGCTTTGGTTCTGCCCGTTTCCGATTCTGTAGTGACTGCTTGGCTTCTCCAACGCTCGTGGGCAGTGCAATCTTTCCTCTACTGGTCGGCAGTCAAACCTCTTGTTGAGCTCGTAGCCAATACACCCTGAAGTGCGGGCTTCAACTGGAAATCCCGCAAAACTCTAAGGCTTGCTTGTGCTGGCTGGTGGCCTTGTTCGTAGTTTGGTTTTCGTGTGTCGGGCGGGTGGCCCCGAATCCCCAGATTCCATCATTCTAGAGTCCACACTTTTTCAAACAAAGCAGGGACTGGCCAACAAATCGTCCCGCACCAACCTTTTCTAGAACCACAAATCGCTCTACTGGTGCTTTTGTGGGCGCTTGACCCAGGAAGAAGGTGATCCCGATCAAAGTCGTGGCATCAACGAGGCTGAAAGGGAGGGGGAAATGGAGAACTCTCTTGGCCAGGGATCTTTTTCAATCTTTCCAAGTAGATGCTACCATTTCTACTCGTTATGGAGCACGAGAGAGAGAGAGAGATTCATGACTGCAACTTGCGAAGATATTTGCAAGCTGCCCAGTGCTGTTAAGGACAGGAGCCCAGGAAGGATTATCATGTAGGCCGTGAGCAGCGCACAAATGGAGACCGGTTGTGTTCAACTTCTTTGCGGGCAACAAAGATGGCTACTCAGCATGAATTGCGCAGGCAAAATAGCGAGCAGTGAGGAATCATATTGATTTAGGCAGCGCCATGATGACAGGCAGTGTTGCAGGCAGCGTTTCTGTGACGCATCACATAGCACCGCGAGGTAGCATCCAAGTGCTGCACGAAGCATCGCGATGATTCGGCTGCATGATACTGTCATTCAGGATCCTCCTTGCTGGTTCTCTAGAAGGAAACCACATGAAGCAACTAAAACGCACAGAGGCAAAAGGGCAAACTGCATGCGGCCCAACTCGGCCCTACTTGGACAAATCAGCGTGTCAAAGCAAGCGAGCTTGCTTGGCTCAACAATCAAATGACAGAACAATAACAACAACAGTGTGCCACTGTGGATACATTGTCGTGCGCATGGTCTGGCAACTCATCCAAGCTGTTTTCCTGCGTTGGGACGTCCCATGTTTTTTTTCTTCCTTTTTTTTTTCCTCAATGGATATTACATTTGGCGGTGGCTCAAACAATGTACCAAAATGGCACCCTGGTATATCTTAGAAAGTGGAACCAAATACTACAACCTGCGTAATTCTAGCTCTTTTTTTTTTTGGCAGCCACACCCATTTTGTTTGAGGCCTCTCTTCTGGTTACCATTATTTCACGGCTGGATGAAGCTACCTTCGCGTTGGACCGCAGGTGATGGCCCACTCTGTGCAGTTTCACTTTTAGAGTCGGAGTGCGTCTCCTGGAACCTAGTTGTTTGAGCGGCTATCCTGTGCTGAGAGACCAAGACACAGCAATCGATTTTGGCGGGTGTGGCATCTTCAGCAATGAGGCTCGGCTGCGCACGCACTCGTGCAGTCTGGACAGTGATGGCTACAAACAAATGGAAGCAATCATTGTGCTGCCAAACGACATCACTTCTTGAGTCCTCCAGAAGCAAGCTGTAACAGTTTAAAACAAATGGAGGTGCGATTGGTTGGCCACGCAAGTCGGGCGCACAGGGGTATGGGAAAGACAGGCATTGTTTTTGGTAGATCTTGCTCTCAGAGGCACTAAGGCACGCAGCGAATGTAAGCAAAGCCGGGTTTAGGAAGCAGAGGTTCGGCCGAGGCCGCAAGCCCCGCTTCTCGGTTTTACCATCTTATTCAATCATCGATCGGCCCATGGCAGAGTCGATTGACAGATTTGTTGGTGAAAAAGGGGGCGCGCGGCCCGTTTTTTTGGAATTCAGAGTGTCCAAGTCTTCATGACTCCGGGATGGGGATAGCTAAAGGAGTCCAAAGGTAAAGCCAGAGGGCTCGAAATGCACCTCAGCTTGGACCGGACATGGGTGGCTCGTCAGTTTCCTGGATTTACTTTTTTTTTGGCTGTTTTTGTTTGTTTGTTTTAATTCGGGAAACCTAAACGGAAAACCGAAGCCGTTTTGTGGGTTTTAACTCGTAAAACGGACGAGCCACCCACACGGAAACCAACCTGGCTCCATGTTTGTGATAGAGTCCTCGTATGCCTGCCTGTCGCTTGCTGTTTTCAGCTGCGAAGCGAGTGTCGAGCGGGTCCCGCTTGACCATATGGCTTTGCCTGGCGCTTGGTAAGCAACTGCCAGATGCATCCCCATTTACATGATGAATCGCCTTGGGTACCAGTTGAGGCACTTTGTGCCCAAGCTCTGCATCATCATCAAATACAACTCGATTGCCTGCTGTTTGAGTCTGACATTTTCTGATACCAATTGCTTGCAATCGGGCGTTCTTTCCAGCTTAGCCGCTTGGAATCCCGGGTGAAGTTTGATCCCCGGCCACTTGTCCGGATCCTGGGAGGCTACAAGGCTCCAACCCTCCGCACTTTCTACTGTTCGGTGAGCTGTCAAGCGCCCCTTTATTCTTGTGCTGACACAGATAGCGCTTGTTGATTCGCATTTCTCCTAGATTTGCTGGACGAACTTTCTGTGATCACGGCAGAAGTTACTCCATGCATCAGACATGTTTTGTTTTTGTTTTGCAGCAATGGTCTTCGGCATACAGTAGTTGGCTGAGATGGGGACACGGAGAGAACGGTTTCCAGCTCCCTTTTCTGCCCCCGTTTCGACGCCAACACCGCTCTTGGGCCTTCCCCGAGCTGAGGCCGCTGTCTTCTTCAGGTCTGTGCAGCTGACCAGGAGCTTCAAGAAACGCAGTTTGAGAAAAGATGTGTGTGTGTGTGTGTGTGTGGGTGCGTGCGTGCGTGCGTGCGTGCGTGCGTGCGTGCGCGTGCGTGCGTGCGTGTGTCTGTGTGTGTGTGTGTGTGTCGCGTTCTACTTTAATTTGACTCGTGGTTTCGTTTTACACAAGGGACAGAAGGGACTGAGGTTGGATAGCATCTCCACTGGGCTCACTTTTGGGTAGGCCAAGCCTCTAACCGGTCTCACGTTAAGCCAGCTCTGCATTCAACGGTTGCCCGTGTTCCCCGCTTTTCGTTTCAGCCGGCCGTTCGCCCTAGCCTTTCGCAGGAATGGTCCGGCTGCTTTCATACACGCTCTGGTGCCTCTTGGCCCATGCCTCAGCCAAAAACAACGAGAGTGTGGGCTTTCCCGTAACCGGGTTGTGCGGCTGGCAAACAGAAGTCGTGGGTTCCTTGTCACTTTGGGGCAGCGCAAATTGAGCAAGCGGCTTGGGACAGGCCTTTGGCTTGAAGCTTCGAGGGATGCCAGCCGCAACCGGCTGCCAGGCCCCAGTGCCGATCAGATCCTTGGCGCTACCGCTGGAGAAGCCGCCGCCTCATGGATCGGAAGCAGAAGGTGGTCCTTCGCTCCTCGTTTTGTGAGAGGAAATCAGTATCGTTTCGTGGTCAAATGTCTTGGACATGCGTTCTCAGTCTTTACATCTGGGTTCCTTGGAGTGATGGTGTTGATGCAGACAATCTAGTGGATGCGTTCACTGGCCTGCTTAAAGACACTGAGAGTTGCTGCTTCTCTTGGAGCTTTTCGTGCATATCTCATTTAGATAAACATTGTACACACAGCTAGGTTGCCTGTTCCCTGCCACGGTGTCCGCCATTTCTTCAAGGCCTCATTTTTGTGGCGTGAATGCATGACTGCGAGATGGCAGCTCTCACCACGCAACGTTAGAGTCTGCGATGCTTCTCACGAATTGCTGAGAATGGCACATGTTGTGAAGGGGGCACAAGCTGGTAGAAACTTGCGAGTCGCAGCTTTCTTGAACGACTTTCTGGAGCAGTCCGGGGTTGTGATGCTGCGCAGAGGCCTGTCAGTAAAGGTGCATTCTTATCCTGGCTATAGATGTTTCACGTATGGCAAGGGTCAGCAAATTCGGTACGGTGGGTATTGTTTTTGTGGTAGACATGGAAAACGCAGGCCGGCAGCCGCATGCTCATGGCATACCCAAAGTGAGATGTGCCTCACAGCAGGTCGGGAGCCTCCCTGCGGCCAGACGATGCGCGGGAGACGCTGGGGATTTGACGGGGACGATGGCAGGTTGAGACTGGACAATCATAGGATCCATGAAATGTTTTTCCGGCCAGGGTTGCAGTCCGGAGTGCGTGTCCAAAACCCACGGCAGCAAGCCGTAGTCAACGGGTCTAAACTGACAGCATCATTCCTGGTTGGATCGGCATTTTAGTGGCACGCAAGATGCTGACCGGCTAGCAAGGAAGCGTACCTCAAACTTCAGAGCAACTTGAGCATTTCCTGAATCTACTGCATCGGCTACTCGATATCGGTATAGGTAATCAATCAAGCCATTGTGTGCACTGTAGACACCTACCCAAGCGCTTTGGTGGTTGTTTGCCCGACAGAGATCATTGGATGTTTGCATAAGCCAGCTAGCAAGATGTGAGGTCAACATCACTGGGTATTCGATTCCGTTGTCGGGAAGGATCTGCCAGATGGGCAGCTATCAGCTTTTCCGTGGCTTACATTCGTGAACGACCATTATCAACAGTTTCGCAGAACCGTGGCCGAGAGGTGTGATTTTATCAAGTCACTTGAACTGCTGTCCCTCACATACATGCTGACCGCTGGTAGCAGATGTTGGAAAGAACGGCGATCAGAAGGAGAGACTCAAGCTGCCAAACCTTGCAAACCTTTGACTAGAGCTTCTAACTCAAGCAGCGTCGTTTTTTCAGGGAACCCCTTTATTTGTGGCTTTAAGACCTCCAATAGGACACCCAGGCATTTGGTGGAGTCCAACCTTAAGAAAGACACACCCCCTTTAGCTCTTGAGCACCTGCGCCGCGGCAAACGCCTTCTCGCAAGGAGGCCCTCTTGCAGAAGCCGAAGGGTGACCCGCGGGAGTACCAGTGCGGGAGCCCGGAAGTTGCTGCCTTTGGTTTGGAGGTAGCCGTGGTTGTTCAAAACCAATGGGATCCCATTTTAGGGTAGGTGAATTCACCACCCATTTTAGAGCCTATTTTAGTGGGGATTGGGATGTTCACTGGGGGTACGGGATTTTCACCCATGGCCAGGTCTGTTTGCTAGAGCTTTCTAGCTTGGTGAACTGGCTCTCCACTGTTGGTCGCTTATCAGATCTCCAACTTTGTTGGCGCATGTAATCTTGGTGTGAAAGCGTGTCCGCAAGTGGCCTGGGGGGGCAGAGCTCACGTGGGAATGTGCCGGTGGAAGGTGCTGTGCAGCCCTACAATCCACTTTCCTTTGGCCAAGAGGTATCGACAAACAACCGGCAGAGCCTTCACCCCCCACAACACAAGACAGGTATATCAGATATGAACAAGCTTCAGAAGAATGCAACGCGTTTACCTGCCACTACCTACAACCTAGAGGTGTCAAGTGACCTGAGTTACACTCGAAGCCAGTGAACAGTGGCTTGTGCTATTTGGAGGCCACACTTCGCCGAAGTGTCAACACTGCAGAATCGAAGCAGTCCAGCATCGCGGTTTGCTTGATTTATGTTTCAACATGGTTTGGCTTCATGTCTCGATTGTGGGCACTTAGAAAATGGCAAAACAAAAGACATGGCAGTGCCATCCAGCGCAGTACTTTGGAAGCCACAGCAGCCCCATTGAAAGACCCCCTCGGGTTGAGAAGGCATGCCCAGACTGAGGCATGCAGTGCTGGAGAACGGCCTGCGGGTGGTGAATATTTGGGACCCCAACACCACCCAGGCGAGGGCGGAAGCAGTCCAGTCGAGAGGCGCTTGCTTTTGTTGTCTTGGTTCGCCAGTCTTTCCGGGAGACTGGGGACTGCTACGATCTGTCAACGTGGCCGTTTGTTTCATGATCTTCAAGGTGTCCGAGGGATGTTCAACTGACGCAGCATCTTGTCTGCTTGGAAATGCTTTCAACTTTGCTGGCCAAGATGTCCTGCCCTGAAGCCTCCACATTTTGAAACGATGGTTCCCAAGTTTCATGTTAGCGCATTAATCACGCCAAGGGGGAATGTTTTAATTGACCCGAAGCTCAAGCTCAAATAATTTGCTTGGAGCTGGGACCACAAAGCAGCTTGTACTGGTGTTTGTATACTGCCCCTTTTCCTGCCACATGACATTGACCGAGCCACGTGTGAATTGCTGCCTCACGCATGTTTTTGAACCGACTCGTGGTTCAGTTGTTGACAGTGATTTCTGTCCACGTGCTGGACAAGGTCTGCTTGTTCCAGTTGATTGTCTTGGAGTTTGCTCAATCTCTGGGGCAACTTCTGGCGAAGGCGGCGGTGTCTGTGGCCGTGACGGTGGGCTCGTTCTCAGATCCAGAGGCAGTTGGGAGCGGGCAACAGCAGACTCGGAAGAAAAATCCACGACTCAGTGAGCAGACCCTGCAAAGATACCCTCTAATGAGTGGCAAAAAAGGCAAGCATGTTTTGCGTTTTGAGTCGAGCAAAGGGAATGGTTCGACAAGCAGCGATTCAAAGACCGACAAGTGTGCAGTTGGAGGCAGCAGTCATTTCTTTCCCTTGAGGCCAAAGCCAGGTAGTTGCCAAGTGTCCGGCAGATCCAAGCCCTGGATCGGCTGAGGTCACGTTGACCCCGGATTAATAGACCCGTCCTATGAAGAGGGTGTTCTCCTGTGATGAATCCCCACTAAAGAACACCCCACTAATCAACCAGGGTTTCTTAGGGAGTATCTTTTGTTGGTGTTACCCCTTTTTGGGTGTGCTTTAAAAGGAAGCCAACAGTGTTTTTTTTTGGGGGGGGCACAACCTGAACATGCCCCAATTGACTCTGTTTTTTGTCATCCCCACACCACCTATCTCCACGTAGAAGGGCATACCTCACAAAAACGACTCCGGGGCGCCTGTTTGACGTTGAGCAAGGAAAAGGGGGGGGGGCTTCGGGCGGGAAGCCACTCAGGGCTTCGATGGCCTGGCACACCTCACGGAGCACGCCATGTTCCTGGGCTCCGAGAACTACCCCCAGCAGTGGCTTGGCCCGGCTCGGGGGAGACGCCAGCTACATCCCGTTTGGGTTGCAAGCAGATTATGTCGCAACTCAACGAGTGAGATTCCATGTTCAAGTGTCCTCAAGGAATTGCTGTCTTGCCTGCAGCTAAGCTCACCATGACCGCCTTACTGTATTACAGGACCTGTGATTCGCTGCTTCGATTCTTTGCTGAGGTCAGGCTTCGACATCTGGCTGGCGCAGCACGGAGGCAGCAGCAACGCCTACACCGCCGAGGCTGGGCGGGTAGCTGCCGCTGGTTTTCTTGCCGCGGCTAGGTGCCACTGCCACTGCAACATGCTGACAAATACCGTTGTTTTGAATTTTGCAATGGCGAGTGGCTGCTTGGTTGGGAGAGTAGAAGCAGGCAACAAGGCAATTGTTGTTGACACCAGCAAATGTCAGCCTGAGAGAACGTGCACACATGTGCATATGTCTGAGGAGCAAACCGTCTACTACGTCTCTACCAGTGAGAAGGCTGGACACCATTGTCCGTTGTTTGTAGCTGCTGTGGAAAGTTGTCTAACATTTGCCAGCAACATACTCCAAGTGAAACTCTTGTGGCCCCCCCGGGCTTATTTTGCTGGTGCCCATCCTTCCCTCATTCCCTGCTGGGCACCCGTCTCCTGCTCCACGTGCGACGGGAGGTCTTTGATCCTCTTGGGCCTCGCCTCGGGCCCCGAATTCGGCAGGCCTTCGAGCAGTGCCTGCGGCGCTTCGCGGACGTGTTCCGGGCGCCGCTCTTCAACGCCTCCTGGATCTGGGACGAGGAGGGGAGGGGAGACGGACGGATTTGCGTGAAGCTCAGAAAAGAGCCAAAGAAGATATCCAAACAAAGGGACGGGGAAGCATCCCTTTGTGGGGTGTTTGTTGAAGATGATCCAAGCAAATGTTTCCGAGCAAAGAAGGCAGGGAGAAAGCGCCGCCTCTCCACAGAGAGTATGCGAAGTCTTCAGCTGCACAGATCGTTCTCTAGCTAGCTATTGCGCGTGTTAGACCACCCATCTTGGCCAAGAAGCAGGTCGCTCAACTTATGCATGTGACAGTGCAGCTTTCCATAGCCTTCAGGGCAAGGACCTTGCTTTCAATTTGCACGTCGTAGGGTTGACCGCTAAACATTGGCATAGCAGAAGATTGCGTCGTTGCGGTGCGGACTGTGATGGATTTCGGTGGTCTGGAGCGCCTGAGACCATGAAATATGTCGGTGCTGGCATTTCTGAATGATTTGATGCATTGCTTGCTCCCTGGAGCTTCCACATGCTTGCCGCCAATGGCAGTGTGCACTATGTCGTTTGATTCTTGTATGCCACTGGATGCAAAGGCTTTGGTGTGCCCTGCACTATGCAGGCATGAAGACTACTGCTCCCGATTTCCTCTAGTGCTTCCAGTTGAGATCTCAGCTCCTGGGTCTCACGTCTCAATCACAAGGTTCGGTAAAGCTACTTGTTTGGCAACTGTGACGGTGCGCCGTGTTGCAATCTTGGGACTCATGGAGTGTGTCAAAAGCATTTCGGTTGATATTGATAGCTCTGTTCGAGCGGCCGTGCCCAGTTCAGGATTTCTCTGCAATAGCCAAAGCTAGTTTGCGCCATGCGCAGGCATTGCAGGTACCTGTTGCTCCCAGTGTCCTGCGCTGTGCGCCTTTGCCAGGTGAGGGCAGTGGACAGCGAGCACAACAAAAACCGCAAGAGCCAAGAGTGGCAGGTGCACCAGTTGATCAACTTCATGGCAGCTGCACCTTGGATCGCATGTGTTTTTGTTTTCAATTCAGGGGCACAAACCCTTTGATCCCTCTGGCAAGTATGTACTGCAAGCATTGTTTGAGGTCCGGTCCGGAAACATTATGGTGTATCATTGGGGGGGGGGGGGGGTGTATTTTCTGGAATGAAGCAGACTATCAACAACAGCACCATATGTCGGGTGCTTGGACGCACGCATGATCGAGTTTTATTGCCAACCATTCAGGACAACAGATTCCATTTTGCATGTCTTCTCCCAATTGCTGGAAGCAACCGGCTGGTTGCACCCGTCAGCACTGAGCCAAGAACACGGACAGATTCATCCTGACCGACACAGCACTAAGTGGTGGTGGCATACCCATACACACATAGCCCTCTGGTTTCCGTGACCGATTGGAAGAGAGAAGCAGGGAATTGTGCTTTGTGTATAGTAAGCGAACAAACGATGATACTGGAGGTTTGATTCCAGGAACCCCTGTGCGCACTATGTTTTGTGCTAACATTCAGGTAGCGCAATGTCTTAGTGCCTGCAGAATAGAGGGAATCCACCAGGGTGTGCCAACTGCACTGTGGCTTCATTGGATGACTCAAGACCAATTGACTTCATATCACCAACACTCATACTAAAGGATATTGCCGAAAGTAGGTAGTCTGTAGCAAAGCATGGCCCTCATTTGTTCACGCCCCAGTCACTTCTACCAGTTTCAAAAGGACAGGGACGTGAGTTGGTGCAGGGTCTGGTGGGTTCAAGCAGTTCGCAACCGGCTCCCGAAGGTGTTTTTACAAGACAAGACACATTTGTACAGAGTTGGAGCTCACTTGGGTCAATTGTTGCCTTGTTAACCTGAAGCCCAGGATGGAAGCCAGATGGGTCGATTCCACACTGGAAATGAGCACACGCTGCGTCGCACCAACAAGGAACCGGCAGGGAAGGGCTCTGAAGGATGGCGCATGCAACAAATGTGACTGCGGCGCTCGATCGCGATGTATATATATATACACATGTGTATGTTTTCTTATTTTGAGACTTCTGCGCTCCCACTACAAGGCGTGCCTGAATGCGTTGTAGTGCCGAGGACAATGTTTCTGTGTATATATATATATATATATGTACACATTATAGACGTATGTGTATATGTAGCATGTGTGCGTATATGTATATAATCACCCCCACAGGGCCTACCTTTCTCTATTCTAGTTGGACAGTGTCATATCTACTCTGCATGTCTCTTTCTTCCACGTGTCCGAAACACTGTAAAACACCGTCTTTTCTTGTTGAGTTAGTACCTTCCCTATGGTAGCAGATGTTTTTGTTTGTTGAGGATTGGCAATAAGTCGAAAATGGATTTCGATTTCGGGTTCAACTATGGCTTTGTCTGAAAACACTGTTTTTTTGGGTTTCGAATACACATAGCAAGCAACATTGAACACACAATGCATTTTGCAGCTTCAAGCTCGGAAACCTGCATGGGCCCAACAAGAACAGACCCACATCCTGAAGATGAAAGCTCTAAAACCTGCACATGCCAAAAAAGGAGAAGCAACAGAAACCCCCATTAGTTTTGTAGCCACACTAAAGCTACATTGTATGTTCCCGCTCCGCGCATCGGCCTCGCGCGCCAGGGAAGGAAGAAACCGAGCCATGCGCGATGGGTGGTGGATGGCTGGATGGTGGGTGGGTGGGTGGGTGGATGGGTGGATGGGTGGATGGGTGGATGGGTGGATGGATGGATGGATGGGTGGATGCATGGATGGATGGATGGCTGGCTGAATAGATGGATGGTGGACAGACGGACGGATGGGATGGATGGATGGATGGCTGGGATGGGGGATGGATGGAAGGCATGGATGGATGGCATGGATGGATGGTTGGTTGGTTGGTTGGTTGGTTCGTTGGCTGGCTGGCTGGCTGGCTGGTTGGTTGGTTGGTTCGTTGGTTGGTTGGTTGGGTCGTTGCTTGGTTGCGTGCGTGCAGCCCGCGCATTGCGCAAGTGCGTGTGTGCGGCGCACGCGCGCGCGCCCGCGTCTTGGGGAAGGCTCGCCCGAAATGCGGGCGATGCAAGGGCTGCAGGCGATGTGCGAAACACAGGGGCTTCCGAAAGCGCCGACGATGCTGGCAATGCAGCTGGGTTGCTGCATATTTACAGTGTTTTCAGCCTTCCCCCAACTTGAGTAATGGTTGCGCGGGCGGTGATGATGCACCAAAGGCGCTGAAGGCCAAGCCTAGGCAGTCGCCCCTTTGGGCGAGGCCAAGCTGGAACTGGTGTTTGGGTTCCAACCCTACTTGGTGGTGACCCTGACCTTTAGGGGTTTGGCGGGGAAGATAGCGAAACGGCTTGTGGAACCTGATGTTGAACAAAAACTGAGAGAGGGGAAGATAGTCAGGAGTGCTGGCACCCTCCTTAGGTTTTATTGATGCGGAGAAGTTTGGGGGTGAAGGTAGCCTCACGTTGTCATGGTGAGTTGACCTCAGCTCTGGGAAAAAATATCCCAGGTTGGATGAGGCTATGCTGACGCCCATATAGAAATCAAAAGAAAAAGACCTCGTAAGAGAGAAGGTCGAGGACTGCGAGATGTTGGGTTTTCTTTGCAACCATCATTTGTCATGCCCACTCTATCTTGAGCTTTAATGGCAACTGCCAACGCAACTGCCCACGCATCTGTGTCTCTCCAATGGGCCCACACGCGCTCACGGCTGCCCGGGGCTGTCGCGTACCTGAACCGCACGGCGCAACATACACGACGGAATGGGACTCTTGAAAGCACGTTGAGGCTTGCAAGTCTTGGGCCTTCCTTGTTTGAGGTTTGACTTGCGCGGTTGGTCCTGCAGCAGGCGCAGTGTCTTCAAATACGAAGCGGCTGCGCAGTGAATAGCAGGGGTCCAAAGCAAAGTAGGACCACCATTGCATTGACGCATATGACGCTTGTTCGACTCACTTGTGGGTTTTGTGGGGGGGCTCAGGTCCACCCCAATGCCACCAAAATCACGGGCGTTTTGTTTGAGACCAAGGGCGTGCCTTCGCAACAAGAAGCCAGAATGGGCCTTGGCCCTTCATAGCCAATGACCAGAATTTACTGCGCACGCTGCTCGTCGCGACGCCCGCCGCTGAACTTGGCCAAGATTGCTGAGTCAGAGCAGCCTGACCTTGCTGCTAGCAGCAAGCCTGCGCGGGGATGCTTGGCAAAAGTTGGACAGCCCACAGTGGCTGTAAGCTGTCTTCGAGAAGTTCATGTGAAAAGAGCGGTTGAGTTTCGGGCTCGCAATGTTATGTGGCTTTGGCTCAAACAGTTGGGTGGGCCCTGAAGATGCTGGAGGGGAGAGAAAAGAGGTTCCTGGTTCCTGCTGTTGTGTGCTAAGTTCTGACCAAGTGCAACACGGAGTTGGAGCGGCTCGAAGAAGGTCAGAACTTATGCAGTTTGCCGTGAAGTCCACAATGAGATGCGGGACCTTGTCATGCGTGTTCCAGCAATGACAGGTCAGGGCAGCAGTTTCGTATTGCTTTTTCAGCGCGACCTCTACTTGTCTTAGAACACTGACAGAGCTTGCTCTGTGGCCGCAGTTTTTTCAGTGTAACCTCGCTCATGTAGCCTGGTGGCGCAACTTTTTGTGCGTTCGGCTGTGTCTCCCAGAAAGAAAAACCATAAGGCGTGTCATGCCAGGTGCTGGTCGAGCAACGCCCCGACAATAACGCAGAAGAACGCTCTGCGCACGCTTGCGGCAGCGAAGTTGCTTGCTCCAAGACTTCTTCAAAGTTCCTGCCCAGTCTATGGCGCGAAGGAAGCCCCAAAAGCAGCAGCAATCAACGTGGACCAGCCGCTCAGAGGAGGAGGAGGGAGTGCTTGAAGGGGTTGAGTTCCTTGGCAGAAAAAGCAGGTCAGGTGTTAAACACTGCAGGTTCACCTAGAGGCGGCGGAGAAATGAGTGTCAATTTACAAATATCTTCAGAGGCCAGTCGAATTCTTTCCGTACTAAGTTCTATTCAAACTTGAGTCACACTTGGGAATTACTTTCTCTTCAAAGGTCAGTTAGTTTCTGTCCGTATAAAGTGTATTTAAGTTCGTCTTCAGTTCCGAGCCAACACTTGCTGGGACAGGAATCATATTGAAATTCTGGTTGACCTTTGAAGTTCCATTGAACTATGTCCTTACTCAGATCTATTCAAAATTCCAGTCCAATTTGAGGAAGATCCTATTTGGAAAGGAATTCATCATGTTGGAGGACACCCCGGCTCCAAATTTTACAAAATAAGAGGTTTTGGGTAGTTGTATATAGAAAGGTAGGCAGTGAAAAAGGGGGGGTAGCATAAATACATAAATAAATGCATGAATAAATAAATACATATATATACATATATATATATATATATATATCGGTATACTCCCTTTCGCGCCCCGCAGTAAAGAAGCGGACCAAGGAAGCCCAGCCACGGAAACGCCCAATATGCAGAAGCTGAAGGAAAACCATGCTGAAGCGCAACTGCGCTGCTGTGGGCTCCATGGCACGTCAAGCTAGTACAGATCAGTGCAGTGCTCTTGTAAAACCTTGATGTGAGGGAAGTTATGTCGCCTGCGAATGTGTAGGCTGTGTCTGGCATGCGCTTGGTCGTGAATGAAAGCACCCCCCCCACCACCCCCCACCCCCCCCTGAGCGTGAGGGTGCAGAAAATGCTTAAGGTGCAAAAGTGTGTACGTTGGTCCACGCATCTGGTCGTGTGTGAAAACACCCCCCACCCCCCCCCAGACCCCCTCGGAGCCGAGAGCAGATCGCTGGGGCAGGAGATTGGGGACAGAAACAGTGGTGCGGGGCGCGAAAAGGGAGTATACCCCTATATATATATATATGTGTATACATACATAAAGATGTATACATATCTATACATATAGATATGTGTAGAGGCTGTACACATATATATTATATATATATACATATATATCTAAATGTATGTCTTACTCACGGCTTGCGGAATGTGAGAAGTATGCAACTTGGACACGGCACAGGCGAGCAACATTGGAAAGGCTTGCGTTCATTGGTGCAGTTTCACGGACAATCGGCGTAGGAGAAGCTGGCCTCCAAGATCCAGGGCTTCTTCTCAGAGAACTACTGCCCTCCCAGGCGCGATGGCCTTTTTGGCAATCGCGAGCTTCCAGACAGCTACGGGGAGGTCACGCATTTGCCGTTGCTTAGAAAGGGTTTTCTACTGGCTGAAAGGAAGCGCTGCAGTTTCCAATGCGTTTCCATCCGCGAAGCAAAGAGCCTATGCCTTGCATGTTCACGCAGACATCTTCTTGGATGAACGCAACAGGGATTTGCGCGTGCCTGCTGAGGCAAACGCGTATTAGGGGGTTTCTAGCACACCCACAGGTGTTGGTTCATGCAGAGTTGAGTAGTGTACAAAGAAAGGATTTTACCCCCCTACCATGTGCGTGCCACCTGCCACGCACCTATATGGTCTGTCGCCCTGCATCTCTTTAACTACTTTGCGTGAACATATCAGAGCATCTAGGGACACGTGCCAGGGCCCAATTGTTTCGTCTTTGTTAAGTTTTTGAACTGATGCAGGACGTAGCTGTTTGTGATGCCCGACACACTCACTCACATCTTTGCACTTGTCAGCATGGGTCACCGTCCAACATTAGCTGGGTTTGTCCAGTGTTTTGGCGTTTTTTTGCTGGTTGAGGTCAAAAAGAGAGCCCCGCGCCGCTGCCCCATGCCGCCATGAAGGTCTCACACGTTCCGCATTTCCCGGTTTAACCGGGTCAAGGTGCCACAACCCAGTCCGGGCTACAAGAGCCCAACCGTAGCCACCCCAAGCTTTGTCAAGACCCTCCAAAAATGCAAGACATACCTGGCAGCTTCTTATGACAGTAGGACAGCTTTTGTTTAGCCGTAGCTTTGCCAGGCCCTGCATCCGCATCACAGACGCAAAACGAGCAGAGATGTACTGACCAGTTCCCACAATAATAAGTATGACAGGTCCAGAGATTGGGGTGTAGAGGCAGCCACATCAAACTGCATTTCACTTCAGCAGTTCCCTGGCCGCATCGGCTCTACATGCACGGCCTTCATGCCATGTCCTGGCTGCCTCCTGATGGCCGCGATGCGGACTATCAACCGCCGGACAATCATCCGACTTCCGACGAGGAGTGGCCGTTTTGTTGCACGTGCCCCTAGCGACCCGTTCAAGACGTGCCAAATTCCCCAAACGGTTGAAAAAATCCATCACATATGAATATCAATAGGCATTTGTGGGCTTTGGTGGAGGCGACAAACACCGAAAGCGGTGCTTAGAGGGAACCCGGCATTGGACAGGAGACGGGCGAGAACTTGAGCAGCGAGGCCAGCCGGGACTCAGCCGCACGGCTGGAGGGGGCTGGACAAATGGCTTCGGAAATCCGTGCACAAAAATTGGCACCCAACTGAGAGGGTCTCTAGGCTTCCAAGTTTCCATGAGCCACAGGCAAGCTGCATCTCCCAGCTTGCTACGGAGCTATGCCGACAACCATTGGTGCCACGATGTGTGGGAAGCACACTCTCCAGCCTGGGGTTGCCAATGTCGCCTCTCTGCCTTCACTGAGTTGCCTAGCCAAATCAAGGAAATGCGTTAATTTCCGTACCTCATTGCGTGGGGACTCAACGAATTTTCTCCGAAAATCACCAGGCGTCCAGCTTCAGTATGTATGAAGTTGAGTGATGACGCATGCCTCTAGATGCTCAGCCGTAAGACGGGCCATTTGTGCAGAAGCTTCACTTCGCAAGATCTCGGGGCGCCCCAAAAGCGCCCGGCCTTTGGCTGGACAGCCAGGATCTTCAGCCATGTAGGATGGAAGAAAACCCCCGTTTCCCGATGTTTTGCTGGAGGGGAAAGAGCCATCAATGTGATGAGGTGCATTTCCAGGCGCCAATTCATGGGCGAGAGTGGTTTATTTTTCTTGATGTTTGTGTTGCTCATGATATGTATAGTCATAATTGCCCAATGCGCTGATTGCACTCCGTGTGGTTTTGGCTCAAGAAAAGGGTGCGCTCCGCAGTGCACCCCAGAGCCGAGATATTGTGTTTTGATGGTAGCGGGTGAGCCTCGACGGTCCATTTGGTTTGGAAAGCCGTACGAGGGGCCCAAGGGCAAGAACAGGGGCAAGAAGGGCAAGAGCAAGGGCAAGAAGGGCAGGGGCAAGAGCAACAAGGAGGAGCCGCCGTGGAGGCGGCCCGCTCGCGGCAAAGGCAAAGCCGCAGAGCCGGTCGAGGAGACCGGGGCAGCGGAAGAGCTGCCGGAGGAGAGGCCGGAACTAGTTGCCCCTCCGAGTGAAGAAGAGGAAGAGACCCTGTCCGCTGAGCCTGCCGCTGAGTCAGAAGCAGACTGGGGAGGATCCCAGGCTGCATCTCCTCGCCAGAGGCTCTGCCAAGTGGCCACAGGGGCCCAGAACCGGCTCGAGGAAGCCGGGCAGAGGAGAAGGAGGAGGAGCTGGAACAATACACCAACGAGGACAAGAAGGAGGACCTCCACCCGCCGCAGAAGAAGCAGTTTGAGCCCGAGGCCACGGACTTCGACCTGGAGCAGAAGAGCGAGGACGAGAGCGTGTGGGGCGATTGGGGCAGCCAGGGCAGGATCCAGCCTGAGCCCGAGCCCAAGGTCGCTCACACGCCTAGGTCGTCAGGATCTCGGTGGTGGCAGAGTGCGACTGGCAAAGACAAGAGGAGAAGCCAAAACAGTCGGCACTTTAGGATCCTCAAAGGCCTCCTGAAGCTCGCGCAGAAGAAGCAGGAAGAGCCATCCGCGGAGCTCCAGGAGGAGATCGAGAACTTCGGGCAGGCGCCCTGGAAGAGGCGCCGGGTGCAGCCCAAGACACCACCGAAGTCCCCGCCTAAGTCCAGCCCTGCTCCGAAGACACCGCCGAAGGGATTCACAAAGGCCCAAGGAAAGGAGCCTTCACCGGGCGCTGAGCCCGAGCTGCTGGCACCGGTCGCCGAGGCAGCCAAAGCTCTCGGCCGACGGGTTACGGTGCACAGGAACATACAAGAGCTTGCGGTGGCAAGGACATCCCGCGGTGAAGGGACGAGCGAGCAGAACCTGGCCTCGAACTACCGCCTCAGGAAGGCGGCATCGGCAGAAGCTGCATACCGAGCCGGAGCAACGGGCTCGGTGGCCAGAGCCATCCAGCAGAGTGTGCTGCAACTGGACGGGTTGGGGAACCCGTGCTCCTCGTGCGACGAGAGGACTCGCCTTCAGAGGCCATCATTGTTGGCCAGGGCCGCAGCAATTGCAAAAGGGGCGGCAAGGAGGCGCGCACCGGTAGGAACGACCTCAAAGTCGGTACCGGAAGCCATCGCGAAGCCTCAGGTGAAGCCACCTCCTGCAAAAGCGGCTGTAGAGGCAAGGGTACCACCTCCACCGCCAAAGCCGAAGCGGGTGCTCAAGGAGAAGGCCCACATCGAGAAGCCCAAGAGCGAGCCGAAGGTTTCGCTGGCTCGGCCGAAGCACCCGCCGAAGCGGCCGCCACCTCCGCCACCGACTCCGTCGCCGGCCACACCCCTGAGCGAGACCGAGGGCAGTGTGCACCTTCACGATCAACCGGCGCCGGAGCCGAAAAGCGGATCGAGCTCGGGGTCGTACTATAGTACAGAAGAGTCCGGGAAGGCGGACTGACCTCCCGGTGCTTGGCACCGGATATAAGGCATGGAGGAAACAGTGCGAGAGTTGCAGCAGGCAGTTGAGCGGTTGTCACAGGAGAATCAACTTCTTAGGCAAGGCCAGGCAGGTATAGCTGCTTTGGCAGAGAACCTTGGTAGGTTAGCTACAAGCCTGCAGAAAGGCGATAGGAAGTTGTTGATAGACACCAAAGGGATTGGAAGACCGGAAGTCTTTTCCAATGATGACGGCCACTTCCGTAGATGGGCCCGGTCTGTGGTGAACCTCACAACGGCAATCTTTGGATCCAGTTTCCAGTCAATCCTTGAATGGGTAGTTGATCAGGATGAGGAGATCACTGTTGAAAAGGTAGAAGAGGAACATGGAGGCGAACTGGGAATGGCCGGACTGGATGATAAGGGAGACCAACTGTATAGGTTGTTGTCATCCCTTACTACTCATGAGTCCGAAGATCTGGTCATCAATGCCAAGAACGGGTATGAGGCATGGCGAAGGCTTAACAGGAGATGGGACCCCCTCACCGCAGGTAGGAAGAGGAACATCCTAAGGGCCATCCTCAACCCCGAAAGAGTTAAGTCTTGGGAAGCAGTTCGACCGGCCATGGAACAACTAGATGATTTGATGCGCCGATATGAGGCCAGAAGGAACGAAAGGGGCGAGAGGGAAATCCTCTCTCAGGACATAAAGTGTACGTCCCTAGAACTTCTGGTTCCAACCGACATTGAGCGCCACCTCATTCTGAACAAGAACCGGCTGGGAACCTATGAGGAAATGAAACAGGAGATTGAGGTTCTGATTGAAACAGTCACGGGAGCAAAGGGGACGATCCATCGACCGGGGTCCAGTGGGGCTTCGAGATCGGGGCAAGGCCCCGCTCCGATGGACGTGGACGCCATCACGAAGGTGCTCAACTCGCTGGTCAAAGGCTCGAAAGGTTCGAAAGGAGGCAAAGGCAAGGGAAAGGACAAAGGTGGAGGCAAAGGCAAAGGAAAAGGTAAGGACAGCAAGGGAAAAGGTAAAGGCAGTGGTTCAGGCAGCTCAGGGTCCGCAGGAGCATGCTTCAACTGTGGTAAGACCGGCCATAGAGCGGCCGAGTGTTGGAGCAAGAAGAAGGATGGAAAAGGTTCCAAAGGCTCAGGGAAGTCTGGCTCCAAGCAGAAGCATGTGGCAGGATTCGAGGACGCCGACTACGAAGCTGGAGACCAAGAAGAACAACCGGAGGCCGAAGTGGGAATGTTTGAGCTGGGTGCATTCACCCAGGGAGAGTCCCCGAAAGACCCAAACTGGGTTCGGTTCAACCTTGATACGGGGGCTGCTCAAACTGCTATTCCAGTGGATTGGAAAGACCGCATCCCCACTAAGGAAGGAGCCCAGATGATGTTCAAGACAGCATCGGGGGAACTGGTCCCTGGGACCGGAACCGGGACGTTTCAAGGTAAGAGTGAAACAGGTTCCAGGTGTAAAGTCACAGGGCCATTAGCACCGGTACACAAACCGTTGGTTTCAGCTTACAAATGCCTCAACCATGGAAGGATGGCTGTTCTTGATCAAAATGGTGGACAGTTGATTCCAGCAGACTCAGCGACAGGAAGGAAAATTCAGCAGTTGCTCAACAAGCCCAGTAAAGCCCAAAAGAAGACTTGGTTGCCCATATACCAAGAGAAAGGAGTTTACAACTTCTATTTGAAGTCGGAAGATTGTTCGGGTTTTGGACGGCAGTCCAGCGAGGCGTAAGTCCGGCCAAACCACTTGCAGCGGCAGATGATGCCGTGGGTGCCGGACAAGGGAACCCAGAGGCACCGGCGGGCCGACCCGCAGGTGTGCCCGAGGGTGATGAGATGGATGAGAGCGGCGAGATCGCGCCGCCCGCACTGGTGAGAGCACCAGGAGGCCCATCGAGGGCCGAGGTTGCGGTGCATGAGGCAACAGGTCACGTGCAGTATCGCAACTGGTGTCGGCATTGTCTTGCCGGCAGAGGATTGGGTCAGCAGCATCGCTCACGACCCGAAGAGGACAAGGCGAGCGATGAGCTCGCGACAATCTCGTGCGACTACACATGGATGACGCGAGATGGAAAGGAGGATGGGAAGACTAAGCCTATCCTGGTGATCCGAGACAGTCGGACACTGGCCGTTGCGGCCACCTTCGTGGACGCAAAAGGACCGACGCCATATGCGGTCAAATTCATGGCGAACTTTATAAAGCATCTTGGTTACCGTCGTGCAGTCTTCAAGAGTGATGGTGAGCATTCGATCGTTGCCCTGAAGGAGCAGGCGGCCAAGGAAGCAGGAGTGGAGAATGTTCCACAGGAGTCGCCGGTGGCTGACCACCGGGCGAATGGCGCAATCGAGAACTTGTGCCGAGAACTCAAAAGGCAGGTGAGAGTCCTGCGATCCTCACTGGAGGAGAAGTTGGGTCGAGTCTTGAAGGATGACGACCCTGTGCTGTCTTGGTTTCCAAGGCATGCAGCAGACCTGATGTGCAGGTACAAGAGAGGTTCCGACGGGAAGACACCGGAACAAAGGAGGTGTGGCCGAGAATGGAGAAAGCCGGCAATCGCCATAGGAGAGCGGTTGTATTACCGTGAGGTAGGAGAAGGAGCTAGGCCACTCAAGGAAGGCAGGTACATAGGTCACCACGGAAGGACTGGCACTTTGCTGGTTGTGACCTCAGAAGGAGTGAAGAGAGGCACTGGTGTTCGTCGACTTCCAGAAGAAGATCAATGGAATCCACAAGGATGGGAAAGCCTTAAAGGCTACCCGTGGGAGGTCTCAGTGCGAGCGCCGGGAACGCCGGGGCAGAGGGCCCCGGGAACTCCTGCTCAAGGAGTGGAGGACCTGCTGGTCAGTGAAGACCGGGTTGAGGTTCCGCCTCAGGTTGTGCCTGTTATGGCACCGCCACAGCAGCGACGGATTTACATCCGTAAGGCAGATGTGGAGAAGTACCAACCTACTGATGGATGTCCTGGATGCACCTGCGTGCTACTAGGGGAATCCACTCAGTTGCCGCACACTGAGATGTGCCGAGCGAGAATCGTCGGTCTCATGATGGATGATGAGCAAGGACGACGCCGTGTCGAAGCTCACAAAAGGAAAAGAGAGGAGACCGCGGAAGTAGGAGTGGAAGCAGATCTCCCAGCCCAAGAGGCCATGGGAGAGCCGGCCGCTGAGGCCGGAGTAGGATCTAGGCAAGACCCTGGACAAGTGATGGAGTATGTGGAGGATCCCGCGAAGAGGGCTGAACTCAAGAGAGCAGCAGCAGGCCCGCCAGCATCGAGTAGTCCAAAGAGCAAGGCGAAGCCGACCACGCAGATCAAGAGACCGGGAGCGCTGTATATAGCGCCCGGAGCCAAGCAGAAGACGCAGCAGAAGCAAGGTGAGAAGCGAGAGCCCGCAGTATCTCCTGAAGAACTCCGAACGGAGACTCAACCGGCGGCTGACGCCGAGACTTCAAACACCCCGGACAAGCCCCCAGACGTGGGCGGACTTGAACTGGGTAGATTGAAGAGGATGTTGAAGTCCATGGTTGGACGGAAAGTAGAGAGAGCGTTTTTGGCTCAGGAGGTGGAGATCAACGCGGTCGAGCTGGAGCAGATCACCAAGCTGTGCGTGGAGATGGGCGCTGTTGATATCATGGAGATCTACAGCCCGAAGCGGTTCACGGCCCAAGCCGGGCAGTATGGCTTGAGGCCGGGCTTTGCGGTAGACCTTGAGGAGCAGAAACCGGACGGTTCCTACTGGGATCTCAGCAAGACTGAGGACGTCCGAGAGCTCGAGGAGTATGTGGACGAGGTCGAGCCGACATTGCTCACAGGGAGCCCACCTTGTGACCAATTCTCCCAGCTCCAGAACATCAACAAGTACAGGGTGAGCCCAGACAAGAGGCGCGAGAAGATGGATAGAGCAGTTGCTCATTTGCATACCGCCTGTAGGTTCTACAGGAAGCAGTTGCAGGCAGGTAGGTTCTTCTTGCATGAGGCACCGTGGAGTGCTACCTCTTGGAAAGACCCGGAGGTCCGTGAGCTCACTGAGAGACCGGACGTGTACACTGTCCGAGGCCCAATGTGCAGATGGGCTATGGTCGCTACGGACCGGAGGGGTTTGCAGGGCACAGGATATGTGCGGAAAGAAACTGGCTGGATGACCAACCATCCAGGTTTGGCCCAACTGTTGGAGGGCGAATGCACCAACAATGTGCCGGGAAACCATGGCACCGGCACATCCACCTGATCGGAGGACTCGCTAGACCGGCGGCCCATTATCCGCCAGCGCTAGTGCGAGCGGTCCTGAAGACTTTGAAGAGCCACCTTGTAGAGAGTGGCCAGTTGAGTGCATTGGATGCAGCAGTTGCAGGTCCAATCCCAGAGGAGAGCTTCGTGACGCCGGAAGACGTGGAGCAGTACTGGGACGACGTGAATGGTGGGTTTTTGCCACCAGACCGAGTCAGGGAGGCACGTCAGCTCGAGTTGGACTATCTTAGGAAGCAAGAGGTTTACGAGAAGGTGCCGCTCGAGGAATGCCTCAGAGAGACCAACGGGAAGGGTCCAATCACCACCCGTTGGATAGACACCAACAAGGGAGACCCCGCCAATCCCAACTTCAGGTCGAGATTGGTGGTCCGGGAGATCAAGGCCCGGAAGAGTCCAGAGGAAAGGATTCCTCAGAACATGCTGTTTTCGTCAACACCGCCTTTAGAGGCTATGAGGCTGCTATGTAGCCTATGGGCCACTGAGCGTGTATCCCATGGAGGACGACCACTCAAGATCGGACTTTGGGATATATCAAGAGCCCACTTCTATGGCGTACCCAAACGCCGCATATACATCCAGTTGCCGGACGAGGACGCCAGTCCGGGAATGGTGGGTCGTTTGACTAAGTCGATGTACGGGACACAGGATGCCCCTAACATATGGCAGCAGCACTACACGCAGCTGTTGATCAAAGCCGGATATCTCCGGGGAAAGTCAAATGGCTCAGTGTTCTATCACCCGACACTGGGAATAAGAGTGCTGGTGCACGGAGATGATTTCATGGCGTTAGGAGACGCCGAGGCGCTGAAGGAAGTAGATACTTTGCTTCGCAGTGCCTACGAGTTGAAATGGCTCGGGACGATAGGTGATGAGGAAGGAGACCACAAGGAGGTCCACTTTCTCAACCGGCTCATTCGTTGTGAACAACATCAAGGAGCGAGTGCGATCCTGATCGAGCCAGATCGACGCCATGTTGATTTGCTTGTGCAGCAGCTTGGCATGGAGAATGCCAAGGGAGCGGAGACACCGGACGTGAAGAAGTCCGTGGATTTGCAGATGCAGGAAGCCCGGAGCCCAGCTCTACCGAAAGAGCAGGCTTCCCTGTATCGCTCATGCGTGATGAGGGCAGCGTACCTGTCACAGGACAGGTTGGACATCAGCCACGCTGTGAAGAATCTTGCGAGGAAGATGGTTTCTCCTACAGAGGCATCTTTGCAGGATTTGAAGCGACTGTGTCGCTACCTCATCAAGAAGCCGGACGTGTGTCAGGTCTTTGCACGGCAAGCCAAGCCGAGCAAGCTCCGAATCCAGGTGGATTCCGATCATGCCGGAGACGCAATAACGAGGAGATCCACAACAGGCATGGTTGCTCTGTATGGGTTGCATGTGCTCAAGCACAGCAGCAATGTGCAGTCGACCATCGCTTTGTCGACTGGGGAGTCGGAGTATTATGCTCTTGTCAAAGGAGGTTCAGTTGGTCTAGGCCTACAGTCACTCTTGGAGGACTTTGCGGTCGAGACCCAGGTGCTGATTCAATCAGATGCGACTGCAGCGAAAGGAACTGTCAATCGGGCAGGTCTGGGAAAGGCCCGTCACATCCAGACGAGGTTCCTGTGGTTGCAGGAAAGGGTCAGCATGGACCATCTGAGGGTGGAGCATATCCCTGGCAAGTCCAACAGGGCGGATGCTCTAACAAAGAGCATTCCAGGTGTACAGATGTCTGAGACCATGCGAAGGTGTGGTTATGTTTTCCTTAACCAGCGTAGCAAGGGACAGCTTAAGCTACTAGAAGGCTAAGGTCCCTGGCCAGACTCCGCTACCTATATTGCTGTGCGAGCGTGTACAGAGACGCTCTTCCAGCAAGGAGGAGTCATGATATGTATAGTCATAATTGCCCAATGCGCTGATTGCACTCCGTGTGGTTTTGGCTCAAGAAAAGGGTGCGCTCCGCAGTGCACCCCAGAGCCGAGATATTGTGTTTTGAGTTGCGCTTGTTTGAGAGTGACCCTGCTTCCACATCTTCATGACGCTTCATTCCAACGCGAAGACAGGCACTTGATTCATGGCAGTAAACGCAAAGCAAGACTAGTTTAAGCGTGATATTCGCCGCGCCGTGCAAACCGCTCTTTCCTGGAAGGGGCGAGGCAACCAGGATTTGCGAGTCAAGATATAAGGATTTGGCGTTCGTGCCTGTGCTGGTTTTGGCATATTTATCATCTTTCATGTGAGCAAATTGTAGCTTCTTCACATTCGGTGAAACAACCTCACCCATGGATGTTCCTTCGCTGGTGCCACGCCGAGGATAGCAGCGATTCATCGCGGCTTGGCATCAGCCAGGTGAATTGGATCTCACCTGCGGGAGCTGAGACCACCGAAACCGCAACTTGTGTCCCGTAGATCTGACTTGGCCTCCTTGTTGCAGTACTGGAGAAGGAAGTCACTCAAACGAATCCAGCACTGTGAATTAGAAGGTGACGACTTCAGTTGGACGTAGAGCAAGGTCAGCTACCTGGAGGTTTGCCATGGGATGGCTGCATGTTTGCAAAGATCCACACCAGCTCATGTGTTCAAGCGCAATACAAAGCCATGCCCTCTATTTCTGGGTGCCTGTCGACAGAAACTCGTTCAACGCGAGGCTGGATGAGGAGTGCAAGTCCGAAGGCAGCTCAGGCCGCTCGGCATTGATTCGAGCCCCGAAGTGCCGTGGGTTTGGGTTCAGCGCAGTCAGGCTCCGCAAGAGCAGTGAGTTACTCATATTCTCAGTGGCTATTAGCTGGAAAGATTCATGCGAACTTGGCCAGAACATCACGCACAGAATTGAGCTGAAGACCAATGCTTCGCAGTGCGCATGTACTACATTACGTGGATTAGATGCAACAAATATACGCAGTTGCTGCAGACGAAGTTATGCTGTTCCCTTCTCATGTAGTGAATGAGCCGCAATGGCAGCGAAGGGCCTCTCTAAACAACGAGGTCATCTACTGTCAGCCTCAGCCTTCTCGGATTCGCGACTCTGAGGCTTTCTGGTAGAGCGAACGCGTCTTTGGCGGCGAGAGGTGGTGGACCGTAACATCACATTCGGCGCCTGGTTGCATGTGAGGGAGCAATGAGACAAGCTGCACCGAGAACAGTGGACCCAAAGAGTCAGCCAAGCTTCAAACAGCTGATCTTGCAATCTGATTATCAGAACCCTGGAAAAAGCAGGAGGAACTCAGGGCCGGCTCAGATGTTGCAGGATACTTCCACGTTCGCGCTTCAGTTGTCAGAGATGCGACTGGAGCCAGAGCAAGTCAGAGAAGTCGGTGCGGCCGGCTCCTTGAGGTGCCGCAATCATTCTCATCGAAAATGTGGTGCTCTCCTTCCAAACTGTAGCTGCCTGGCTGGAGATTGGAGTGCCTGACTGAAATCCGATTTCCACACTATGTGCCGTGTGCCGCTCTCTAAGCGGGGGTCCCCGTACTGGTTTTAAGGTAGTGAAATGTAGTCATGTTCGCCAGGTGCGATTTTCAGTCGCGATAGGCACGCTACCTCACAAGGTGCACAGCCTCCGCAAAGTGAATTTGTGTAGAATGGAGGACCTCATGATGCAAAACGGGGCACTGGATTGTGCTAGTTAGCACCAAGGAAGAGGATAATGCCATGTTGGATAATGCCAGGTTTCCGAATTGATATAGAGAGGCTTTGCGACGCCACAGATCGATGTGCTTGTCCTTGAAACAGCCAGCTGGTGCACCGATGGGCACCGAGAGGACAGGTTTGTTTTGAGGATCTAGGGAGCAGGGAGCAACTCCTGTTTTGCCAGTTTGTGATGTTGAATGTCATAAAGGATGCAACACCAGCCATACCAGCCGCACGAGCATCACTAGCAGCACCACCACTGGCGCGAGTACTGCCGACGGTAAGGCCGTGTTCATATTGATGCCACATCCAAATCGAGCGATGCTTGCGCTGAGATCATGATCGTTCAGAGGCAGCACTGGGCCATGTGGGCACCGAATCTCGGCCAAGGCTTCCCAGGAATCTGCTGCTATGCCAGTCCTTGTGTAGCTAGATCCATCCTGGCATTTTCTGAGCACAGCATGTTCGCCATGTTTGCATGCTCGCCCGACTCGCGACACTGGAGAAACTATTCCCAGGTCTTTTGCAGAAGGGGCTGTTTGTAAGCTTGTCCTTGCATGCTTTCCGCTGATCCATACTCTGATGGATATGGACAGTCATTTATTTGTTCCCTGGTTGATTTGCAATCATCCCTCATTCAAGAGTGCCACACTCACTCAAGCTTCCCAGCCTGGTCAAGGTACCTTCTGACCTATGCTGTCGAGTGGCCTGCCCTGACGTTCATCATCAAGTATCCAAAGTGGGCCCGGCATGTTGGCGTTTGCGAGCCAGCTCTCACGATGTTCCGGGCCCGTCACACGAAACATCTATAGCATCTCGCCTCTGCATTCAAACAACACAGAGGCGCAATCCAATTCTCCACCTTTTTCATTCTGTGCTTTGCAACGTTGTGCCAGGCCATTGTTGTACCTGGCTATCCTTGGATTTGATGCGACGCTTGGCAAAGTCTGAGAGGGGCCGGAGTAGCAGGTTCATCTTCGTGAACGGAGGGTTGTTCCCTGATGAGACCTTTATCCAACAGCCATATTGCATGTATCTGCATGTGAGCAGCGGCTCCTTCTTCATTCCGTTCAGTGTGTTTGCGCCCAGCTTGAAGCACGGCTTCACTGCTGAATGTACCATCACACGACAGAAAATGTTCTTGTCAACATTTTGGTGCTCCCGTGCAGCATGCGGAGACAGCAGATCCCAATTCAAGCTTCCTTCATTGCTTTTTTTGCAAATGTCACGTCTGGATCAGGTCTCCAAAGGAGCAGACTCTTGCAGGGGATTCTGGAGTGCTTTCCTGTTTGTGCACTTCCATGTGTTTCACACTTTACTGGAGGAGTCAACACCGGCATAACAAGATGTTAATCTCTGAAGTTCACATGGGATGACGCCGGCGCTTGTGTGACTCATTGCCTCCAAACTCGTGTCCCACATCAGGATTATATCATTGATTGCTGCTGACCCCATGACCATCTCCAATGAGCCATTGGACATGTCAGGCGTCTCGGATGAAATGTAGCGCCACGTGTTTTTCGCCTCGAGTACGAGCAGGTGGGTGCTTTGGATTTTGGATGCCTGTTGATAATCAATGCCAGCCAGGATGTGGCCGCTGGGTGCTGAAATCACTTGTTCACCCTAAACTGCATACAGAAAACTGTCCAGTTCGGGTCCTTGATTGAGGTGGGGGACAACTGTCCAACTTTCCACTGCCAACATAGCAATACGCAACTTGCTGTGTCGCAGCCTCGTGCTTTGCGCTTTGATCCAGCACCAAGGTTATCAAGTCCTCTACTTTGACATGATTTATGTGCTAATGTCAGCCGCGAGCCCTAGACTCTTCAGGGCATTTGAGTATGCACAGGATCCAAGCCGTGTAGAACACTTCAATGCATTTGAGTTGGCCATCATGTATGTTCCTGTCAGTGGCTGAGAGTCGCACTGCTTCAAACATTATGCCACGCTTTTTCTCATGCCCTGGTACAATTTGTCAGCATTGGCTTCCATCATGCAAGAATTGCAGAGCCGTTGGTGTCCGATCCATGCTGCAGGTGTTGTAAAGAGCGTATCCGAAAGCCGAGGTCATGTACCACCCGAGTTCGCTGACGCTTACAATCTTTACCTTGGGCAGGCCTGAACTGCCTACAGAGTGAGCCGTGTACGTATTCCGAGAATACACACACACACACACACTGTGTGTGCACCTGCTTGCGTGTGCGTGTATGTTTGAGTGTGCGTGTATGTTTGCGTGTGTGCTTGCATGTGTGTGTGTGGGTGTGTGTTACAGTTTCCTTCAAACTGTTTCCATGTGAGTGGCTGTGGTTCTCGGTGTGTGTGTGTGTGTGTGTGTGCGTGTGCGTGTGCGTGTGCGTGTGCGTGTGCGTGTGCGTGTGCGTGTGCGTGTGCGTGGGCGTGTGTGCGTGTGCGTGTGCGTGTGTGCGTGTGCGTGTGCGTGTGCGTGTGCGTGCGCGTGCGCGTGTGCGTGTGCGTGCGCGAGTGCGTGTGCGTGCGCGTGCGCGAGTGCGTGTGCGTGTGCGCGTGTGTGTGCGTGTGTGTATGTGTGTGTTGTGTGTTTGTGTGTGTGTGTTGTGTGTTTGTGTGTTTGTGTGTTTGTGTGTTTGTGTGTGTGTGTGTTGTGTGTTTGTGTGTTTGTGTGTTTGTGTGTTTGTGTGTGTGTGTGTGTGCGTGTGCGTGTGCGTGTGCGTGTGCGTGCGGGTGCGTGTGCGTGTGCGTGTGCGTGTGCGTGTGCGTGTGCGTGTGCGTGTGCGTGTGCGTGTGCGTGCGCGTGCGCGTGTGCGTGTGCGTGTGCGTGCGCGAGCGCGTGTGCGTGTGCGCGCGTGTGTGTGTGTGCGTGTGCGTGTGCGTGTGCGTGTGCGTGTGCGTGTGCGTGTGCGTGTGCGTGCGCGTGCGCGTGTGCGTGTGCGTGCGCGAGTGCGTGTGCGTGTGCGCGTGTTGTGCGTGTGTGTGTGTTTGTGTGTTTGTGTGTGTGTGTGTTGTGTGTTTGTGTGTTTGTGTGTTTGTGTGTTTGTGTGTTTGTGTGTTTGTGTGTTTGTGTGTTTGTGTGTGTGTGTGTGTGTGTGTTTGTGTGAGTGTTTCTCTGTGTGTGTGTGTGTTCATGACCCGGCTGGGTGAAGTCAATTTGTTGGCTCGTTACCCTTTTTGTTAATACAATGCTTGCAGTAGGCAAGCGACTAAAGCCAGCTTGCACCAGTTCATGCAGGAGTGGGCGCAATCGGTCCTGGGCAGGACTCTGATTTTCTGTGTCTACTACAGCATTGTGCTCCTTGGTTGTGGCCAACACCTTGGTGAGGTGCGCCGAATTGCATTACGTTGGCAGAGTGACTGCGTGACGTGGGGAAGTGTGTGTGTGTGTGTGCGCGTGCCAGTTTGATCGCTATTCTGAGATCATTCCGGCACCCCCATTTTCTCACTGATCTACCTGAGGGGACCTTGGTTGACCCTGCAGCGCCTATCTCTGATTGACCTTAAAGGGTAGATGAAGCCTTTGAAGCTTGTGCCCAACCGAACAGAGGCCACCATTCACGCGACATTGTGATATCCCAAGAAGTAAAAGCTGTTGCTACTGGTAACGAAGGAGCTGTTCCAATTTCTTTTCAAAGAAGGCGAAGTAGTCAGGGAGCCACAGTTGAATACAGTGGACTTGATGATAAGAACATGAGAAATCATGATTGGTGAGCGTTGCAGCCAGCAGCAGCAGCAGCAGCCGCCTGCAGGTCATTGCGTGGCCCATTGAGTTTTCATTGGAGTCGGGCATTGCACCCTATCACCAAAGAATGTTTGTCCCAGCTTGAAGTGCGCGATTTCAATTTATTTGCAATGCTGTGGCTCCGGGCAAGTGAACTTGTCCATGTCCTAAATGGGCGTGGCTGTTGTTGACGGTACCCGTGGGGGGTTTCAAGTGAAAACCAAAAGGAACATCCTAAATACTTGCCACGCCGATCTCGCGAGGGGTTGATGCGGAAGCTGGCGCTGGACCTGGCAGTAGGACGGGAGCATGCAGTGAATTTGAATGGGAACCCCGTCAAAGAAATCCCCATAAAAAACAATGTCCACTAAAGGGCCCCGAATCAGAATTCACACACGTATCATGCAGCGTATCAAGACGGCTTGGGCTGCGGTGCGGGCCGGGCCCACGGCGGCGTGCCCGTGTTGGGCGCGGCCTGTCCGTGGCAAGCCCGTGGGCCTGACGGCCCTGCTTGGAAGGCTTTAAGTGCATTCAAGCTCCATTGAAAAAGCAGGAGGTGCTCTTGGCGTGGTGTGTATTGAACACCTCATGCACACATACACGTCTGCATCTACCCCTACCAAGGGAGACGCACCCGCGCACACATGCTTGCGTGCGTGCACACATGTGCAAGCACAAGCGTGCAACCACGTGCCAGTTGCATATCATGCAAGCAACGAACTGTACCCGGCCCAAGGGTTTGGGTTGGTTGACGCAGCAGAAAGCTGTGTGTCCCGCCCTCCCTCCTCAATGTTCTCATGTTGAGAAGCAGCGCTTCTGCCGGTTTTGGGGGCGGAATGTGGAAGTGGGGCTTTGCTGCCTGCCCAGACAGGCAGCATCCCGCGGGGTGGCTTAGCCCAAAAGGTTTGCGCCGCTGACTTGGTCAAGGCATGGGCAGGTTACGTACATACCGCAAGCATAGGTATGTACATAATTTCGTACGTACCCACCCACATGCATACACACACACACCCCACACCAAAACTTTTGCAATCGATTTGGGGGGTTTTGAAATCAATTTGGGGGGCTGATGTTGGAAGGACTCAAGGAGTCAAGGAGGGTTACACAATGTGTGAGCTAAGGATTGTGGGGTTGACAAAGATGAAATGTGGCAAATAACAATGAAGTCTTACCCTGGATATCGTTGGGGACAAACTGCATACTCAGCCTGATGCCGGAGTACAAAAGGGATGATTCCAGAGAAAGAGGCAATGATGCCAATCAGGGGAATTGCATGCAATATTGTTGAGGGTCCCAAGCAAAGTTACTCAGCAAACTTGCTAAATAGAACAGTTCAGGAAATCAGGCAACATTAGATTCAATGTTCAAGTCCCACACTCCCTCAGTATCTGATCTCAGACAATTATGATGTCCCATAATCATAAAATCACAAATCACCCATCCCACAATGGAGTTGTTATTGATCACCCTCAACTCCCTACATCACCCTTTCACCCTAGCCCACAGCAGCAGCAGCAGCAGCAGCTGCTGCTGGCAACCACTGGCCACCACTGCTGGCTGCCTGCAGGTCAAGGCGGATGGGTTTTGGGCACATGGGTTTCAAATGACGATGGCTTCAAGCTTTACCCACTGCCAGCAATCTTTTTTTCACACATCTCAGGATCGAAGCACCTGTGTATTCAGGTTGGGCCAGGGTGCAAGGCATCAGAAGGGTCCAAGATCTGATTCATTTCTGACTTACTCAAAGTGGGTCACTTTTGCATTCTTTGTTTAATCAACAGGGCCCCTCATATGTCTGTTGTTCACCCATCTTGCTCTCACCCCAAAGGCCGCTTCTTGGGCTGAATTTTCTTGCCAACCGCGGATGTCCACGGTGATTCCACAGGCGACATTTGCCTAAGCCTAGCCCTTTCCGTCAGAGCTTTCAAAGCATCGCTTTTAGCTTTGGCAACCCAGTCACTATTCAGCTTGGGCTTCACCAGGAGGATGCCACTGCTTTTGGGCTTAGTCGTCATCAAGTCCTTCTTCATCGAGTCGCTCATGGCCACAGATGCATCCTTGGCACCCTTTGCCGCATTGGCCTCAAGGTCACTGCTCCGCATCACCGTGAAGCCTTCTCGCATCAGGTGGCTGGCCGCTTGGATTCCATGTGAATCCACTCGCTGCTTTTTCTGAACCTGGACCTCCTTCTCCGGCTGCTGCTCCTGAACCATCTTCTCCGGCTGCTGCTTCTGAACCACCTTCTTCTCCGGCTGCTGCTTCTGAACCACCTTCTTCTCCGGCTGCTGAACCACCTTCTTCTCCGGCTGCTGAACCACCTTCTTCTCCGGCTGCTTCTGAACCACCTTCTTCTCCAGCTGCTTCTGAACCACATTCTTCTCCGGCTTCTGAACCACCTTCTTCTCCAGCTTCTGAACCTCCTTCTGCTCCAGCTGCTTCTGCTCCAGCTGCTTCTGCACCTCCTTCTGAAGCTTCTTCTGAACCTCCTTCTGCTCCAGCTGCACCTCCTTCTGCAGCTGCTTCTGAACCTGCGGCTTCTGCACCTCCTTCTGCTGCATCTTCTCGAAGATCGCCATCTCTATCGCGGAAGGGTCCTGGGCCCATTGCTTGATGGGTGTTGCCATCATGGCTGCAACACACAGCGAGGCCAGGTTGAGGGGCGGGCCAATGCCTGTGCTGCGACTGCCTGCACTGGCCCCATCCTGCTCCAGGTCCAGCTCCAGCTCCAGGTCCACTTCTGGCTCCACCTCCGGGGTCAGGATCGCAGTCTCGCTCACCTTGCTGCCATTGCGGTTCCTGCCCTTAAGCAGGTGAGGCGGCGGGGGGCCCTTTGGTGGAGTTGGTTTCGGCCCCATCCCGAGCAATGCAGCAGCTGCAGAATCCGAATCTCACAACCATCGCAATTTCCACTCAATGTCAACAATGTCAGGCACACACCATGCCACCCAAACTTCTACTGAGTCCAATCCACTAAACAAATCATGCCACCAGCCCAGAACCAGCCTCCACCAGTCTAGAGAATGGCAGCTGCGCAGCAGCTGGCAAAGGAAAGCCTGTGGCAAGCGGCAAGCCAGAAAATACAACACACTCATCCCTTAGACCAGCTTAAATTCCACATCCCTCACCAAACACCCTCAGTAAGCCTTTAAATAGATGCAATGGGTTCCACCATCCATCAATATCAGCCACTTTTTTTTCTATCACTCGCAGCCAATTGCGCCATCCAACACGGTGACAGTCACCCATGGGCTTGCCAAATGACTGTCCAAAACCCAAAGCCACAGGGACCCTGGCTATCCAACCCAAGACAATTGCACACATTTCATGACACGTGTTTCATGCTGATTCTGATGGTTCATAGGGTGCCAGGGCTACTGCTTTTCAAGAATTAGGAGCTGGCCATCTGCCAGTTCCAGGTCCGCAGTGATGAAAACAATTGGGCGGGTAGGCATCAAGCCATTCATTGACCATTTGCATTGCCACCCCAAATTCGTCACAGAAGTTTTCCACATGGCCACATTGGGCACCATCTTTGCAATCTGGGATTGAACCACCACCTTGTTCTGCTCCAAAGCTGGGGCAAAGATCACCTGGTTCACCTAGCAGGCGCTCAACAGTTGGTCAGTCAACCCTAGAACTAGATATCAACAAGGGCTTTGGGAATGAAACACAGAGCATTGAGTTTCAAAACTCAACATTCACCCTTCACCCCTCCTGAGAGAACTTCCAGCTTCCATCTGGTTCCTGTTCGGCATTGTGGTAGCAGACTTTAGCATCAGGCTTTGTCGCCTTCATTTTCTGAAGCACTTCTGATAGAGTCTCACATGGCTGAGAATCCACCATGACAAGGCCATCAGGTTCAGCATCAAACCGGATTTCGGTAGGCTCAAGTTCACTCTGTGGGTTGCCCTGACGGAACTTGCCCTTGCCCCAACCACAAAGCACCATTCCAGCCACGAGCTTCACCTTCAGTGAGCTCAATTCATTTATTTGTTACTTCTTCTGTGTCATCTCATTTCTCTTAGCTAATCTCAACAAAAGGAGATGTAACATGAGTGACTAAATTGAAAGTATAGTCATGAAAATGACTGGTCTCACTGACAAGGAGCAGGATGGCCAGTTTGGTTGCGGATGTAGGGAGCCTTGTCAGACACCACTAGCATGACCTGCTCTTTCACCCCCGAGGGCAGCTTGATGTTGACCAAGGGTGACTCAGCAATCACAGTAGTCCCATGCGATTCTTCAGCAGGCTTCGTTGTGACATTTGGAGCCGGGGTCTGCTTCTGCTTTTTCAAAGGCACTGGTCCTTGAGGCCCTGCAGGATCACTCTTGGCACCCCTTTTTTTTTTGAGGGTTTTGGCAGTGGCATGCTTGCTGGTGAACGCAATTCAATGGTGACAGCCTGGCCATCCACCTTACAAGGGTAAGTGAAAGGAAATGGGGGCAACTTGTTGGAGCAATTGTAGAAACAATTAGTGGAAACAATTGGTCCAATGTTTGACTCAACAACTGTGTTTCACAGAGTCCAATTACTGAAGCAATCAACAATGTTGAATCTTGAGGTCAACCCAGGCCTTGCCCCAAACACAACGCTTGAGCGCAGGAGGTTCAGGCGCTGCTTCCATGTGTTCAGCTGGGGGTTCTTCTGCAAGCCTCCAGGGTGTAAGATTGTGTTACACCTTTAATATTGCAGTTCAAAGCCTGAGCACACACCACTTGTTTCAACTTCTGAACTTCAGTAATCAATTCACTGCTCTTTTGTTCCCAACCCTTGTCCTTGCACAGTTGGCAACAACCAAATCACCCTCCTGGAACTTTGATGTCAGCTCTTCCAGAAAGAAGTTCTGAAACCATTCTTGGTGGCCCTGATCAGCAAACACTGCCGCATACGTTAGCGGGATGTTGAGCTCCTTGCTTAGCTCCACAAAGCCCTCAAAGAAACTGCCAGTCATGGGGGTCAGGTCCACAAAGCGCAGGCAGGTGTGGTTGTCAAAGCCCACACCATCCTAAAGTGCCAGGATCCAGTCCCAGCCACTTTACCCCAGGGTCACCAAATCCCAAGCAGGACCTTCCAAAATAATTCTTGTTCAATAGTAGGCCAAGTTTCCACAGTAGACTTCAACAGCTTCCATGCTGCATCCTTTCCCAGTTGGCTGTACTTGGGAGCTCCATGCAAGTGGCCTGTGTCTGTTGACGGCATTGTCACTGCATCCGGTTTGTGCAAGGCCTCCACTTGGACCATGTCCTGTTGGCGGGGCCCCTCAAAGCTAGCTTAGTCAAAGGTTAAAAGTAGCTGAGTT